ACCTTAGGTGTATGTGGCTGGCGCCTTAGCCGCTTGAGCCACAGGCGCCGAGCCCATACTTTTTTTTTAAAGACAGAATCTCACTATATCGCCCTTTGTAGAATGCCATAGCGTTACAGCTCACAGCAACCTAAAACTCTTGGGCTTAAGTGATTCTCTTGCCTCAGCCTCCCAAGTCACTGGGACTATAGGTGCCCACCACAACGCCCAGCTATTTTTTTGTTGTAGGCCTGGGCCAGGTTTGATCCCACTAGCCCTGGTGTATGTGGCTGGTGCCCTAACCACTGCGCTACAGGAGCCGAGCCAAACATTCATATTTAACATTTAACAATTGATATGTTGGAAATACAGGTATCTGTTTTTTGTTTTTTTTTCCGAGATAGTTTCACTTTGTCACCCTTGGTAGAGTGCCATGCTGTCACAGCTCACAGCAACCTCCAACTTCTGAGCTTAGGCAATTCTCCTGCCTCAGCCTTCCAAGTAGATGGGACTATAGGCGCTGGCCACAACACCCAACTATTTTTTTGTTGTTGCAGTTTGGCAGGGGCCAGGTTCGAACCCACCTCCCTCGGTATATGGGGCCGGTGCCCTGCCCACTGAGCCACAGGCGCCTCCAGGTATCTGTATTTTTAACAAGCACCCCAGATAATTCTGATGTGAAGCCAAATCTAGAAACCATTCACTGGCCAGGGTTGAGAGATTAAGTTCAATTCACTAAGTATATCAGAAACTCAGGGACATTGAAAAGATGGCCTCAAAAATAGCCTGGCTATATTACCTCTGCCTCCTTGCTGCATGGAGATGAGCTAAATCATTTTCCAATGTCTCTACAGAAGCCAGTAAAAACTGGCCATTTGGGGCAGTACCTGTGGCTCAGTGAGTAAGGTGCTGGCCTCATATATTGAGGGTGGTGGGTTCAAATCTGGCCCTGGCCAAACTGCAACTAAAAAAGAATAGTCGGGCATTGTGGTAGTCACCTGTAGTCCCAGCTACTGAGGAGGCTGAGGCAACAGAATCACCTAAGCTCAAGAGCTGGAGATTGCTGTGAGCTGTGATGCCACCGCACTCTGGAGGGTGACAAAATGAGACTCTGTCTCTAAAAAAAACCCCCCAAAAGAAAAAACAAACTGGCCATTTGAATATATGTTGTCAAAGCTGTTCATTTTCTATTCTTGGGGTCCTTTCCTGCCCATTATTACCTGAAATCACAAACCTGACAATTCCTGTGTTACACAAGTATTTGGGTTGCAATGAGGTTTGATCTTTACTGAATGAGGGCTGATTTTCTCTCCTGGCAGTTAAGTAGTTTAATGGAGCACAACCGAAATACTTCCTTTAGTAATCCTTACTGACACAACAGCATCCAGCCCTCCCCCAGAATTGCTTTCTTACCATCCAGGCAAAAAGCAATTAACTTAGAAACTGCTGAAAGAAGACGCATTGTTAGGCCCAACTTGGTGAATTCTGGAGTTCGTGCTCCTGCTGACCTGACTTGACCTCGATCTGGGGGCGAAAGCTGGGCCCCAGTGAAGCTCTACCTCTACCGTCCCACCTTTTCCCTGGACTGCAGAGGAAGAGAAGGTTCTCTGAGAGCCACTGAGTCTCCACCAGGAGTGTCCCTTTCACCACGAGGGGCACCGCGTGGCAGGCATCCTCACCTCCCCGCCAAGGAGGAGTGGACCCAGCAACCCAAGCCAGGAAGGGAATCCTTCGGGAGCCGGCGCTGGCTCAACCCACCCGCCAGCGTTAGGGGTTCTGGAGGGCTCGGCCTCTGCCCGAGACCCTGGCAAGGGGAGGGTGTAACTCATTTCTTCTGAATTCAAATGCGAAGAGAGGAAAGGGGGCCCAAACCTCACATCCCTCTTTTCTCCTCTCGGGCTTTTCTTCCATCCTCTGGGCCTTGTGTCTTTCCCGGAGTCGTGGCCCAAGTCCCCCGACCTCGGCCCCCTCTTGCTAGGCTCCCGCCCTCCTTCCCATCTGACCCTTTCCCCCTCACCTAGCATGATGGGGCTGAGCCGCCGGGCCAGGCCCTTGGACAGGTCGTACACGTAGAGCTTCACCGGATAGAGATTCGGCGGCTCCATTGGGACCCGTGGCGGCGGCGGCCACTACGGCCCTTGGGCACCCGGCAGCGGCTTGGACCTTCCCGTACCCGACGGGAGTGGGGAGAGGAGGGAGTGGGGGGACCGAGCCCGGGCCCGGCCTGAGGGGCGGGGGAGAGGCCGCCCTGCGCTGCTCGCGCCCCCGCACCCGCTACCGGCAACGACTACTGTGAGGTGACAGAGAGGGGACAGGGAGGGTCCGCATAGAAGAGAGGGGGGGCGGGGACGCACTTTTGCGCATGTGCGTACCGCCCTCAAGGGCGGCGGAGGCGTGGCTTTGACGAAGGGGCGTGGCTTTCGCCGATGAGATTGGCTTTAGTTGAGATGCGTAGAGAAGCCCGTTGTAAGAGTGGGCGTGTCAGCCTGACAGGAAGAAGTACACACTGTGTGATGATGGCAGTGGCGTTGATTGGGCGAGAGATCCACAGCATGCGCATGCGTGGTGTCTCATTTTCGGTGCAAATTTACCTCTTCGCTGTGCTAAAGGTAGGTTGGCTGTGTCTGGTGTGTGCTTCTCGCCAGTAAGGGCTGTCCTGGTTCCTCTTTGCCCACTTGGTCTGTCGCTAGCCCCGTAGCTTTTCTGGGGGTCAGTGTCAGCCTAACGTTTGCGAATCTGAGAAGCAGAAACAAGAGTATAGATCACGCCCCGTCCTCCGGGTGGAAGCTGCACCGGGCGGTTGAGGCCCGCCTGCGTCTGAAACCTCATTGGGCCTGACTGCCTGGGTAGTTGGGGAGAGATTTTGGGGCGGGAAGAGGACTAGTGGGTCAGCTAAACAAGAGTATCCCGGAGTGGGACAAGGCCTCAAGGGTAAAGCTACCCCAGCACGCCTATCACAGTGGCTACCCTGGGCTTCGGTGGCCCTGAAGCGTCTGTAAGGGATAGATAAGATGAGGCTGATGCTGCAGTGGTCCCCAAGCCCGTTTACCTGTGCACTCTAGCTATTGAGCTCTTGAGGTGGCAAGATCCATCATCCACATTACTCACTAGTAACCCCAAGCCTTTGGAACAGATCTCACTAACAGACGTCGTCAAACTACAGTCCGCGGGCCACAAGCCTCCCGCCTAGGACATTTATCTGGCCCGCCGGGTGTTTTTGCCGCCACTGCCTGTCCTGCTTAGCAGCCTACTCGTCGCGGGGCCCGCAGTCCGGCCCTCCAAAGGTCTGAGGGACAGTGAACTGGCCCCCTGTTTTAAAAGTTTGAGGACCCCTGCACTAGAGCTTAGAAGTCGATATTTGTTCGACTTAAATGTGCTTGTTGGGGCGGTGCCTGTGGCTCAAGGAGTAGGGCACCAGCTCCATATACCAGGGGTGGCAGGTTCAAGCTCGGCCCCTGCCAAAACTCCAAAAAAAAAAAAAAAAAAAAAAAAATGTGCTTGTTACTGATTTTTTTCCTAGTGAGCAGGAACCAACATGTCAGGGTGGGAGTCTTACTACAAAACCGAGGGCGATGAAGAAGAAGAAGAACAAGACGAGAGCCTTGAAGCGGGTGGTAAGTGACTTTAACACAAAAGGACCATTTCGTATGTAGAAAAGACCTTCCCTGTCTATCTCTGCTAGGTAAAGTTTGCTCTTTAATAGTTCACCCCTCTCTCCCCAGATAATCTGAAATATTTACTCCCTTTGAATTTTGCAGAGCTATCCCTAGGCTCTTTTATTCAGGCCCTACTCGAGTGTGTGGGACATTTCTAGCCTTAATTTTTTTCTGGGCACTGGTAGATTGACATCTGTCGAGCCCCATTAAATGATCATGGATGTCTTTTGTTACCTAAATGGCTCAGCAGAGACCCTTCCTCACCCAGGAAAGTAGTTTTACTCATCCCAGGACCTCAGTGTAAAAATGCCTTAGCCCTGCAGCAACCAAAGAGTAAACATTAGTAACAGGGTTACATGAGAGTGATTGATCACTGTTGCCTCCAAGTTTGGAAGTACAGGGTTGCTGTCAATTTTGTGTGCTATTTTATACACTATTTTAAATTGAATATGAACTTGATAGCTGCCTTATATATGTTCAGGAAACCCAATAACACACAAAGGAACAGAAATAAGTGGTATATGAAATCTACATACTGGTCTATTTAACCCCTGGGTGGAAATGGTTTTTTTTTTTTTATTGAGACTGAGTCTTACTTTGTCACCCTGGGTAGAGTGCCATTGCTCACAACAGCCTCAGATTCTTGGGCTTAAGCAGTTCTCTTGCTTCAGCCTCCCAAGTAGCTGGGACTACAGGTGCCTGCCACAATGCCCAGCTATTTTTTTGTTGTTTTTGCAGTTGTCATTGTTTAGCTGGCCCAGGCTGGGTTTGAACCCGCCTGCCTCTGTGTATGTGGCTGGCACTCTAACCACTGAGCTTTGGGCACTGCCCATTTTCTTATTTTCATTGTAGTTTTATCAAAAGTCAGGGTAGTGGTTACTTTTGAGGGAAAGTAGATGTTTTCATTGGATTCAATATAGGAATCTTGCTGAGATGGCCAGCAAGACTCAATTTCTTGACATAGGTGGAGGTTTTAAGCTGTCCACTTTATAGATTTCAATAGGTTGTACTTTATGGTCTTTTCTCTATTTGTTTTGTTTGAATGATAAACATTATAAATAAAACATGATAAGTATAAATACAAGGGCAAACATTCCCTTCCATTTTTTCCCCCATAGGAGAATATAAATATTCAGGAAGAGATAGTTTGATATTTTTGGTTGATGCCTCCAGGGCCATGTTTGAATCCCAAGATGAAGATGAATTGACTCCTTTTGACATGAGCATCCAGGTAAGATTATCTTTTTATTTAATGAAAAAAGACGAATTAAAAAAAAAAAACAACCTTAATAGCACTTTAAAAAAATATGGACACTTTGAAAAGTGTGGGAATAAATGGTGGTTACTTACACTTGCAGCTGAAAATGGGAGCAGTGTTGGAGAACAGTCCCATTTTATTCTGGGTTTAACTTAGGACTCTAAGAATAGATTGCCCCTACCTTCTTCTTCTTCTTTTTTTTTATAGAGATAGAGTCTCACTTTGTTGCCCTCAGTAGAGGGCCGTGGCATCACAGCAACCTTCAGCTCTTGGGCTTAGGCGATTCTCTTGCTTCAGCCTCCGGAGTAGCTGGGACTGCAGGTGCCTGCCACAACGCCCGGCTATTTTCTTCTGCAGTTTGGCCAGGGCTGGGTTTGAATCCACCACTGTTGGTATTTGGGGCTGGCGCCCTACTCACTGGCCACAGGCGCTGCCCTCCCCTACCTTCTTTGTTAGACTTGGTAGTAGAAGTGGATCCTCCTCTATAGAGATAGGAGTATAAAAGAAGTGATGTTTTGGCAGTTATGGCTCAGAAGAGGTTTCTCCTAAGTGATACTTGGGAGCCAAATACTACCTGTGGTTGAAAAAGATCACTAGAATAATAAGACAGTTCCACCTTTTTAAAATTTCAGAATATTACAGGGATACACAGATTTTGGTTACATAGTTCTACACATTTCAGATCAAAATTATAAGTATGCCCTTCAAAACAACTCCTATTTTAAAATAGGCACAGGACTTGAATAGACATTTCTCCAGAGATACACAGATTGCTAATGGGCACATGAGAAGATGCTCAACGTCTTTAGCCATTAGAGAAATGCAGATTAAAACCACAGTGAGAAGCCGGGCACAGTGGCTCACACCTGTAATTCTAGCACTCTGGGGGTCCTAGGCAGGTGGATTGCTTGAACTCAGGAGTTTGAGACAGGCCTGAGCAAGAGTGAGACCCCATCTCTAAAAATGGCTGGGCATCGTGGGAGGTACTTGTAGTCCCAGCTATTTGGGAGGCTGAAGCCAGAGAATGGCTTGAGCCTAAGAGTTTGACATTGCTGTGAATTATGGCCATGGCACTCTACTGAGATTGACATCATACTGAATGATTTCATTTACATGTGATCAGACTGGGTAAGCCATAGAGAGTGTGGACTAGCAGGAAGCTGAGGGAGAGGGACAGATGGGGAGCAACTGCTTAATAGGTATGGGGTTTGCTTTTAGGTGACGAAAATGTTTCGTAACTAGATAGAGGGGGTAGTTGTAAATGTTCTAAATACCACTTAATTATTCACTTTAAGAATGATTAAGGCTTGGTCCTGTGGCTCAAGTGGCTAAGGTGCCAGCCACATACACCTAAGGTGGCGGGTTCAAATCCAGCCCAGGCCACCAAACAACAATGATGGCTGCAACCAGAAATAGCCGGGTGCTGTGGTGGGCACCTGTGGTCCCAGCTACTTGGAAGGCTGAGGCAGGAGACTTGCTTGAGCCCAGGAGTTGGAGGTTGCTGTGAGCTGTGATGCCACAGCACTCTACTCAGGGGCATAGCTTGAGGCTCTGTCTCAAAAAAAAAAAAAGATAAAGAATGATTAATATGGTTGGGTAAGCATGATGGCTGACATCTATCATCCTAATCTAATGTTGTTGAAGTAAATTTCACCTTAATTGAAACAATCACTAGTTTTCTTTTCTTTTCTTTTTTTTTTTTAATTGAGACAGAGTCTCACTCTACTGACCTGGTTAGAGTGCCCTGCTTTCATAACATAGCAACCTCAAACCCCTAAGCCTAAGCGATCCTCTTGCCTCAGCCTCCTGAGTACCCAGGGACCACAGGTGCCCATCACACTGGCTGGCTAGTTTTTCTCTTACTCAGGCAAATGTTAAACTCCTGAGCTCAAGTTGTCCACCTGCCTTTGCTCCCAGAGTGCTAGGATTACAGGCAAGGGCCACCACACCTGATTGCTATTTCTTTTTTGTGCTTCATAGGAAAGAATTTTTGAAGGTTTGTTATATATCCCATGTTTCATAGTTCTGGAATTTGGGCGTTGCATGGAAACTTCTTGTGCTGTAATTTATGTACAAATAGTTCTTGCAGTTGGCAAACCAGAATATCTTGTATCTTAAAAAAAGAAAGGAAATAATTTAAAAAAAAATTCTCTTTTTTTTGAGACAGAGTTCTATATGCCCTCAATAGATTGCTGTGGCATCACAGATGACAGCAACCTCCAACTCTTGGGCTTACATGAATTCTTTTGCCTTAGCCTCCCAAGTAGTTGGGACTATAGGCGCCTGCCACCACAACGCCTGCCTGGCTATTTTTTTTTTTTTT